TGGGATGTCAAAAAAGGATAATAAAAAGCCAAATTAGATGGCCATAGTGGTAATGTTATGTCAGTCTGTTTCTCCCCTGATGGAAATACATTAGCATCTGGTAGTGGTGATAACTCTATCCGTCTATGGGATGTCAAAACAGGATAATAAAAAGCCAAATTAGATGGCCATAGTGGTAATGTTATGTCAGTCTGTTACTCTCCTGATGGAAATACATTAGCCTCTGGTAGTTAGGATTAGTCAATCTGTCTTTGGGTTGCCAATACAGGATAATACAAAGCCAAATTGGAAGGTCATACTCATTATGTCTACTCAGTATGTTTCACTGCTGATGGAAATACATTAGCATCTGGTAGTGGTGATAACTCTATCCGTTTATGGGATGTCAAAACAGGATAATAAAAAGCTAAATTAGATGGTAATACTAGCACTTTCTGTTCAGTCTGTTTCTCCCCTGATGGATATACATTAGCTTCTGGTAGTTATGATAACTTTATCCGTATATGGGATGTCAAAATAGGAAAAGAAATTAAACACTAAAACAACAATACCAAAGAAATTCTACAAAAATATACCACTCCGTTATTATAAAATAATCCTTTTACAAATTTTGGTATCATTAATTTGTTATTTTATTTAGTTAATCCCAATATTCCAATTCTTGTTATATCCAAAAATCCTTACTTCCTTTCAAATGGAGCTTTAATCTTTTAAGGAGAATTTTACACCACTTGGGGAGAAGATTTACGAGCATTTTTTGAATCTAGAGGAGGTTGTATTTTAGAAAACGTCAATTAAATTAAAAAAAAGTGAAAGTATTGATATAAAAAACCTGATAAAATAAATTATCGTTAAAGACTAATGAGATATTAAGATATTTGAAACTTATGAATTCTTAGCAGTTAAATTTGCCTTTTTCCAAAGGTTTCTTCCTTTTTAGTCGAATGTAAATCTGATTTACTTTAATATTATAACAATATATAGTCAATGGAATATTTCTTGAGATGCCAAAAAACTTTTATCAATTAATATTTAATTAAAATTTAAATGATTCTGCATTAAATAAATACTCTACAGATATTTGGAAAATGAGTCAAAAATAAAGTTAAATAATAATTTATAAAAAATTAAAAGTAAATTAGCACAACGCCGTTCTTTTTTAATAATTTAGGATATTATGATAGGTTTACTTAATTTATTATTATTTAGAAAAAATATTGATATAAATAGTAAAGATAGTAAACAATTACTAATTTTTTTATTTAATAACAAAGATAATAAAAAAGTTATGTCATAAATTAAAAGAATAAAGTTAATCCTAGTATTAATCTAAACTATAAAAAGAAAAAATTAATTTTAATAATTCTTTTTATTATTATTAGATAGATATTTAAAGTATTTCTTTATTTAAAAGACTGTGAAGATAAATTAATCACTAGTAAGTATTATATCCCAAAAAGGATTAAGATTTAAGGATATAATTATATCTACCCTAGATTTAATGAGATGAAATAACAATCTACTTATCTTTATTACTGATGGTTATTGACTTGTGCTATTTCCAAAAAACTTTCAATAAATTTTTGAATATCTTTAAATATTAAACATTTATAAATCACTGAGATTGGTTGGTTTCAAGAAGATTTAAGAAACTAATTAAAATCTAAAAAAAATTATCCCTTATCACTTCTTAGCTTTGAAAAACTATATTCTTTTGATGAATTGATCAACCAGTTAAATTTTATAATTAAAATTATTCATTAAAAAGGAATTCAAACGAAATTTCAAACATAAAGATTAAATTTTAGTTTAGGGAATTAGATAAAATTCCATCAAAAATTCAAGGAATTGCTAAAATTTTTCAACGATAATCTCTATGCAACAAAAGGTAAATATAATGTATGGATACCTAAAGGGAACATAAATTTATAAAACTGTTAAACTAATTACATGTTAGAATTATAGCTATATATTAAAATGAATTAAGCCTTCTAAGGTTGACTTTATCAAACAAACAAATTTCAATAAAATGAAAAAATGATGAGGAATCAAAAACACATCATTTCTCAAAAAAGGAGAAACTAACCTTATATTTAGATTTATAATGTTCTAAAAAATTATCATCTCTCATTAGCAATTTTCTTTTGATTTTAATAATCATTTTAAATCGAAGCCTTTATAATTAATAAACTTTCCTTATGGACAAGAGCTCCTTAAGCTAAAGAAAATTGCCGTTTGGGATATACATTGAATGGTTCTGTTTGTGGTAACTAGTCTAAATACCTGTAAAAGGGTAGTTTTATAAAGGAATCAGTTTATGCTAAATTTAATTTATTGGAATATACAATCAAGCTTTCAGATAAGGAAAGTAGATCTATCAATTGGATGGCACAATTATGTAAAAATAAAGTAATTTCTTAGAGGAGGAGGATTACATAACAAAGAAAGATTCAAGGAATGATTATGGATTGAATGACATGAAAATTATGATAGGTTTTTAATTGTTATTATTCAGAAATTCTTATTATTCAGAAATTGTTAAGTTGTACTTAAAGGATTCTATTAAAATAATCACAAAATTGGGACTAGGATTTATTAATTTTATGAAGGTAAATTTAATCAAAACAATTCTCTTATTATCGAAAAAAAACAAAGTATTTGGAAAGCAATGACAATAAATATTAGATAATAATATTTAATTATGTTTTAAATATGTTAGAGGTTGTGGAGTTTATCATGAAAATGAATTAGAAAATCAATTTAGGGTACAATTAAAAAGAAATGAAAGGAATTATTAAAGTGAACAGTTAGTATATTAATCAATCAGGTTTATAAATAATAAATGATTTGATTGTCGAAGTACTATTATAATTATCAAAACGAGATATTAAAAATAACTTTACAGAATCAGGTATTTTTGAGTATTGAAATTAAAAATCTTTATAAAGCAAATTTATTTATTTATATTTTATAAATATATATAATAACTCAAAAAAAAAATATCAATATTTTAATCATTTTTTATTTACTATCTCGTATTAAGAGCCTTGGGAAATATGTCCACGAAATTAAGGTAGTATCCTTAAGTCGTGTATAAATTAATTTAAATTAAATGCCATAGGTACTCATAATAAAGAGGGAAAAAAGTCTGAAAAGCGCATTCAATTATCCAATTATTCTTAATTCGATAAAAAGAATTTGAATGAAAATGCTATATTAGGTAAATTAGTTACTTTTGTAGGAGAATATACTAATGGAAAAAAGTTAGGAATCAAAGAAGGAAAAAATAACAAAGTAAATTTTACAATAAATTTATGAGTGGAGGTAGTTTATACAATCATATGGGTTATAAAAATGGAAAATGGAATGAATTGGGCAGCTTTAACGTGTATTGCAATATATAATCATAAAAGACCATTTTTTGTCATTTAAATAGGAGAATATTAAAAAGGAATTAAATAAGGTAGATTGGAAATGTTATTAAACAAAAACTAATGTTTTGAAATAGTGTTCATAATAATTTTTCACTTAAATATTTAGTGGTGGAGATATTTATGATACTAAAGGGATGAAAAATGGAAAATGAATTTCTTTCCAAGATAATAAAAACAGCATAATAAATGAGTACTTTAGTAATTGTTAAGTCCTAAATGTTGGATAATATGATGATGGAATTAAATAAGGGAGATAGGATATGAAGACTATGAAATACTATGAGCATGATGTTCTCACATATTAACTTTGGCCTAAAAATACATTTTAGAAAATGTCATATTTTATTTATTTAATAGTATATCAGAGCTGGCTGTAAGTACGAAAACTTATTGAATACTAAAATGGAATAAAAATAAGCATTGAAAACATGTAAATAGTCATCTGAAATAACAATAATTTGATTTTATTAATATTATCAATTAATATATATTAAGAAAATCTATTTTGTAAAAAGGTATTTTCTAAAAATTTTTATGGAGGAAATTTTAATGGAATACCGATTAATTAAATGGAATAGTTATCTTATATTATTAAAAATAAAATTAAGAAACAAATTTTTAAATTATAATAAATTTCATCTTAAATCAAACTAATAAGAGTCCAAAATAAAAAATACTACTTTTTTCAGAGAGATATCTAAAAATAATAAAAAGAAAATTACAATTCAATAATAGTGCAATCTTAAAATATAATTTATATAAATTAATTATATACATATTTCTTCATTTTTTCATTTAACACGATAAATACAAGTTGTGGCGTTGTCATAAACTAAATAGAAATGATAATTTTCTATCTAAATTTAAATATTGTTTATCATATATTTGAGTCATCAAATTCATCTTCTTATATTAATAGTTTATGAAATAAAATCAAGTCTGTAGATTTTCCACTAATAGATACTTAAAATTATACAGAGCAATAGCTATCAATCATGATAACACTCTGATTATTGCTGCAGCTGAATTAAACATAAAAGCCATCTAGGTCATTCTACCACCTCTTTCATAATCAGAAGCCTTTCGAATTACAATTACAAAAGCATCTTTAGATAAATTGAAATACTTAAAGGTAAAAATTAAGATTTTGTGTCTTCTCTAATGTTTTTCAAAAAACTCCATCACTGAGAAATTCATTTATCTCGGGTTTAGATGGTAATACGAATATTATTTGGTCGCCTCTTAATTCATTCGAATTTACAATACCAACTAATCAGAAAGACTAATGTATACGAGAAGAAATATGTTTAAATATACTTACTCCATCAGAGACCTTATTATTAGTGGGTCTTATGATAAGAAGATTAAATTTTGGTCTCTTCCATCAACAAAACTTCTTTACCATGGAAATGTTCATAGACTATTGAAGAACATACAGCTAAAATTTTTGGATTATCAATTAATCAAGAAGGTAATACATTACTTTCTTGTGCTAGTCATTTTTGAATATTAGTGATGGTAGGTTCTAATAAAACATAATGAAATATTAGATAAAGAATATCAGTAGATCAATGGAGATATAGATTATGTTTTATAAATAATCATGTTTTTACATCTTAACCTATAGAAACAGCTCCTCAATTATAGATCAGCGCACATTCATATTTTTATTTACAATAACCAAAAAGAATAGTATTAAAAATCAAAAACAGAATTGGTTTAAGGTGGTGGGTAACCCTGCAGGCC